TTGAGTCCATTATAGTCTCAGCCTGTCAATGAAATGTGCATCCAACATACACAAACACATGCACACCTCTAGCCAGGGAGGGAGCACTCTGAGCAGGGAAAGGGTAAATGAAGGAGGATCCGCTAGAAGAGAGAGAGATGGGGAAAGATGGGGGTGAGAGAGAAAAAATGAAAAAGGGGGAGATTAGTGAAAAAGGTTGAAGGGGGTGTGAGAGTGCGGAGGTAAAAAAAGGTTGACATGAGATGAGGGGGGAGGCATGAGAGGGAGGGGGTAAAAATCTGTATGCTGCCAAAGGCCTCTTCCTTTAGCCCCTCTTCACCCCCCCCCCCCCCCACTCTATTCAAAGGTTTTTAGTGAGCTGAGCGCAGAAGCACTGACCCGCAAAACATAAGCATCCCCCCAACCTCTTCCCTCCCCAGTGCTCGCTCTTAGCATGGTGTCTCTCACACACGCATGCACGCGCGCGCACACACACAAGCTAGTGACTGCTGCTCTTGCACTCCCACCTTTTCCCAAGCCCTCCCCTCGCAGCGGTGGTGATATTAAACACAATGAGAGCCTTTAAGTGCGAGATCAGGGGCGGTGGGAGGGGGGGGGGTGTAATCTGCTCACTGAAGTGTTAAATAGGCACAACAATGCAGGCTAGGCTGGAGGTGTGTGTATGTGCATGAGTGTGTGTCTGTATCTGAGCTTACGTTAAAAGCTCATTTGGAGGAGAAAAAAAAAAACTAAAGTTCAGAGCCCATAAAGGTAGAACAGGGCTCCAGTTTACAAGTTGTCGTTTTTAAGAAAAACTTTAACACCTCTGTTGTTTTGGCCATTCGTGTACACAAGTGTACAAAGTGAAACTTTCTGAATCCACTGGTGAAGCACTGGTGTAAAATCACACATGCATGGACGGCTGCAGTCGATAGTTTTTCTGCTCGTGTGTGAGTAGATGAACAACAGTAACTATGGTAGTAATGGAGGATTGCAGAGTCCTGCTGGTGTTGCTCATGCTTTTAATTAATCAGAGCTTCTGGCACAGAACACATGTGATGCATCATCTTTTGGTCCAAACAATCCTCCGTGTACTCTCATTTTGAATGCAATGGTTTTCATGCTCATGTTTCGTGTGTGACCACACAGGTCGTTGAAATACAAAAGCACAACAATGGCTACTACAGCAGATTCAATGGCTTTTTTTGTGTGTGGTTTCGTCTTAACAGCAATTGCCATCACATACTGTACTGTGTAATGTTTTCACAAACATCTGAAAATCTTTAACCTTTTTAAGAGATTAATGTGTAAATGGGGTCCAAATACACTGCCCAGCCAAAAAAAAAAAGTCGCCACCTGGATTTAACTAAGGTACGAGCCTCTATTGGATAATTACTGCATGGGCAGCAATTACCTTTCAGCTGGCAACAAGTTATTTAACCCCAACCGGTGCAATGAGTTGCTCCTCATTTCTTGAACAACCATGATGAAAAACACATTGTGTGTTCATGGAAAAGATGTCAGTCTGTTTGAGAAGGGTCACATCATTGGCATGCATCAAGCAGAGAAAACATCTAAGTGATTGCAGAAACTACTAGGTTAAGAACTGTCCAACGCATTATTAAAAACTGGAAGAATAGTGGGGACCCATTGTCTTTGAGGAAGAAATGTGGCCGGAAAAAAAAAACCCTGAATGATTGTGATTGGCGATCACTTAAACGTTTGCCGAAATCAAATGGAAGAAAAACAACAGTAGCACTCAGGGCTATGTTCAATTGTGAAATTAAGAGCATTTCCACACACACAATGTAAAGGGAACTCAAGGAATTGGGACTCAACAGCTGTGTAGCCTTAAGAAAACCAATAATCAGTGAGGCTAACCGGAAAAAAAAAGGCTTCACTTTAGTTAGGGAGCATAAAGATTGGACTCTGGAGCAATGGAAGAAGGTCATGTGGTCTGATGAGTCCAGATTTACCCTGTTCCAGAGTGATGGGCACATCAGGGTAAGAAGAGAGGCAGGTGAAGTGATGCACCCCTCATGCCTAGTGTCTAGTCATCAATGCAAGATCTTGGTGAAAAAAGAATGCAACACTGGATGGAAATAGATCTTGTGACATTGCAGAAGCTCATCGAAACAATGACACAGTGAATGCTGCTGTAAACAAAGCTAAAGGCGGTCCAACGAAATATTAGTGTCACCTTTTTTTTGGTGGCGACTTTTTTTGGGGCCAGGCAGTGTACACAAAAACAATTCCAAACCCACACAAAGACAAAACTTTACACTAACTATCAAAAATATACAACTTGAAGATTAAAAGGTATTTATTTGGGTGTGAAACGGAGAACTCTGTTAAATGTTTATTTTTTCCAACATCATGTTAAAATTCTTTTACTGATCTCTGAGAAGGAAGTGGGTCACTGAAGGAGGAAAAAGATGGCAAATGCAATGCTAATGAAATTCTAAAAAAATAAAGAGTTGCTGAAAAAAGTGAAATCTACATCGATTATAGGTTTAAGATTTCATGGGTTTGTTTCGAGTCACTCAAATCTGTAGCAGCCTCTCTAATTTTAATTCAATAAAACATCACAAGTGAAATAATCAAATGGCCTCACCCAACAGCACAAATCCAAATCAGTTTGATAGATGCTTCAAACTGCTTTGTGTGATGAAATGCAATTTACTCAGGCTGACGTTCAGTCGACTTTACTGAGCCATAGATGTAAATCAGCAGAGCCGAGATAGACTAATCTTACTCAAACCACATCTAACAACAAGTTCAAGTTCCCAAAACCAAACTAACCCTCAAAGACAAACAAGAAAACAAACCGAGCAGTTAGACAGAACAGAAAGTGTTAAGTACTTACTGTGCCAGGTTCTCGCTCTGTTGCCATTTGAAAAACACGTGTGGTTGAGGTCACAGGGGTGGGGTTTCAGCAGATCAGAAAAACACAAGAGGGGATAAAAAGTTGAATGTGACGAGCTAATTTAAAGGTTTTGACACAGACTAAGCCCAAATTATGTGGGTCACTCTTAGCAAAATTAAACAATTTATCAAAAATAAAAACTATAGTTCTGGTTGAATGTCATTAGAACTTGTGTTTCATAATTAGTTGTATTTCTGAGCATCGTGGTGTATCCTCCTTACCTCTGAGGTGCTCGGGTCCTGTGGGGTGAGAATCTGTTAGATGAGATTTTTTCTCACAAACATCTTTTCCTGCCAAATGGGGAGGAACAGCACCGAGCGCTCCTGACAGAGCAAGCAGACCAGCTGAACCTCCTAACTGAGCGGGGTGGATGCCAGCGGGATGCGGGGTGAGGGGCACAGGAGCACCACCGTGGTTATGGGAAAGATGCTGCTGTTAGAAAAGAAATCCAGAAGAAGAAGAAACAGGTGATTAGTTGAAAGAAAAAGACGCCAAACATTCAGGAATTCTAGTAATTAGTGGTGTGAAACTAGGGAACCTGGAAAATGTATACATGAATTAAGACATACATTTGGAGATGTTGAGGCACCCCTTCTGAGATAATCACAATCATTTCGCTTAGTTAAGGATTGTCAGAAGTTATTGCAATAAAATGTTTTTTTTCTGCTCACTTTATGTGGCTTCAAGCAAACTTTGAAAAACAGTGATTATTACTTTCATTATTAACACTGACTATAGAAAATAGAAATAATTAGCAATATCAAACAATTTATCAAAAATAAAAAATATAGTTCTGGCTGAATGTCATTGGAACTTGTGTTTCTTAATAAGAGGGATTTCTGAGCACATCTTTTAACTTTGAGTTGTAATCACTAATGGTAAATGTTACATACGACATAACCTACAAACATAAAAAGCCTTTAAGTCTATAATGGAAACGGATAAAACCTTTACTTTATTGCGTACTTTTACACAACGGATTGTGTAAAGGCACATTTATAACAAGCTACATCTGTCATTCAAAACCAGTCATCTCAGGAGATGCTGCTTAAAATGTTAAATGTACAAAATTTCAATTAATTAAATGAAGAAAAATTCTTAATTTTTATTTAACTTATGTTAGTTTCTCTGCATTTTCTTTAAATAAAAAGTAGAAATTTCAGAGTTTTTTGTAAAATGATTCATGCGAGCTCAGCTAACACCACTGTATAACAGAATGAACTAAATAGACCGCCAACTCATAAATCCAGTGTATTTTTGTTATAAAAGTGAATATTATTGACATCAAAAACCAAAACCACAGAGGAATCTAGAAATGAAACATAATCACTAACAAATAAAACAATCAATAACACTTTGTAACCTAATCAATCAAGACTTCTGGCTCTATTAAAGTCTGCAACAGATGGGACAGTATCTTTAGTGTCTGAGGTTTACACCACCACAACAAGCAGCAGCTCTCCACAAGAGGGTGAACACATCTCCCCTCACACACTCACACACACTTGGTCTTTGGTCAAACACTGAACAATACTGACAGCTGGGATCACAGCCCAAAGCCTGAGGATGTGAACAAGGAGAGGAGGGGGAGGGAGATGAGGAGTAAAAGGAGGAATGACGAAGGAGACGGAGGGGAGATAGTCAGGAGTCCCAGCTGCTGCTTGCACTGTCAGGTCTTGTGAGGGAGTGAAGCGGCTGAGGAGGGAGGAGAGGAGGGAAGGAGTAAAGAGGGTCACAGGGAGAGAGAAAGGGAGGGCAAGTTTAGCTGGCAGCCCTGCTCTCTCTTTCACACCAAATCAGGCGCTCGTCTGAGCGTGAAATGTCTTTGTGTTCCAAAACATCATTATTGCCTCCTCAGACAGCAGCCGCGGGAATCCAAGCTCACAGATTCTCCACGAGGAAGGGAGGAGGGAGAAGTGGGGGGGGGGGGGGGGGGGACAGGAGGCAACTCAGCAGAGGTGGGAGGAGTGCTGAAGGTCAAACCGACTTTTATCTCACCTAATTGACTAACCCACCCCACCCCCTGAGCTTCCACCTTCTTTTTTCCCCTCCATCAATTCTCTGCCTCCACTCCAAATGAACGAAAGCAAAACAACCAAACAGTCTTTTAGCCCCCATGGCTGCCTGACGCACAATTTTCAGAGTTGGCGAGCATGCCAAAAAATGAGACATAAACACACCCACACATCACACTCGAGCACACTAACATGTATACACACAGTTTGGATAAACAAGGCAGGCAGAAACACCCTCACTCAACCATCCTACTCCTGCCTGCGTGTTGTTTTCGGAGGATAACAGAAACGCACGCTCTGCTACACTCAGACTTACACAAAAACAGATGCACACATGCACACAGTTACACAAAAAGCACCCCTGACGAGAGTAAATGGAGGGGAAGTATTGGTGTAGGCAAGGGGAGCCCAGTTTGTCATGGGATGTTAGTGTGAGCTAGTGTGTACACATATTGTGTGTGTGTGTGTGTGTGTGTGTGTGTGCGCGCGCGTGCGTGTGTGTGTGTGTGTGTGTGTGTGTGTGGAGGTAGGGCACCACGCTTCATTACGCTCATTTAACTCACAAACGGGGTGAATGACAGGCTGGCGTGGGAGACGAGAGGAGATGGAGGGAGACGGGGGGTGTAAGGGCAACGCTGTGACCACCCCCCCCCCCCCTTTACAAACACCAAAATCCTGCAATTAGGACTCAAAAAGCAACTGCCAAAACCACCTCTCACCCCATTACACAAAAAAACAGACACCCATCAGTCCACGCCAACTAACAAGCCCACCGCACATCTAACCAAAGCACCCTCTGATCCCACCGCCCACTAAAACCACATAAACCCCCACCATCATTCCCACATTTCCCTTACACTCAAACTTCTGTGAGTCTGGGGTTATGAGTGGGAATTATCTCTTTACACTTACACAACAGAGTGACAATTCAATCCCAGATTAAGACTTCAAACATTTAGATCCTTGTATTTATGGTATAAAGTACATGTTTGATTCTAAAGAATATACGCTTGTGCTGACATTGTTTAAGCAAGCCGAGTACTTTTAAATAAGACTAAGTACTCTGTGATATTTTTAAGATATTTATGAAAAGGAATCCTAAGAATGCACCACTACAGATAAAAGAACAGCAATTTATCTGCATGGCAAAAAAAAAATGGGCATGCACTTCGAGAACAAGTGTAAGTGAATAGAAATTGGAAGAATACACACTGTAGGTGGAAGACCTGGCAGTCCACGTACCCCGATGACAGCATTTAGCTCTGCCATGGTCACCTGTTTGGCTCGTTCCACAGCCTGAACCACCTGCTGCTGATGCTGTAAAACATACAGACAAAATGATGCTTGTCACTTCTTGTCAGAAAAATTAGAGACATATCCTTAAAACTGTTTAAATAAATTAATTAAAAAACAGTCTGCAGCTTCAAGTCAGTCACACACACTTACCTCCTGTGAGAGGAAGGGAATGACTTGTGCACAGATGGTGTTTAGTCTCTTGGCAATCTCAGTCTGATGGTGGAAGAGAGACAGAGATAGAGATTCACTTGTTAATAACATAATTGCATCTATTTACAAATGACAGCTGCTCAGTTACACCACTAAAGTAATACAAGAGCTCTCACTCACACACACGATGCATAGACACACAAAAACCCTCATCACAAAACATCCACTATTCCCACAAATTCCATTTTTGAGCCGTTTGGTAGATTTCCTAAACGCTCAGTGCAAAAAGGTTTTCCACTCCTCATTGTGATCTCATGTTTCTTTCTCTTTATTTCTTTAGCTCACCCTCTGTCCTGTGTGCTCTTGTCCTTCTTCCCATCAGCACTTCAACATAATCTAATCGCCTACTAACTTAGTTTGCACCCTCCTCCTCCTCCGTATCCATGCCAACACATCCGTCTGCCCCCTACAACCCCGGAGGTGGCTACAATTGGCTGAAACCAGATACCCCCTCGGTAGCATCAAATCAGATAAAGGGTCTCACATTACATATCGTCCAATCAGATAGATAAAAACGTCCCGCGTGAAGAGAGAATCTGAGGAGCCATCAGACGTAACAATGGCTCAACAGGAAACGACTTCCATAGAATAAATAGAAAAACACAGAAGCAAACGCTGCACGACAACAACTCAAAAGGGCCATCTGTTGTTGAGGTGTGACTGCTTAAGAAGAGGTGAACAATCTAATTAGGATTTGACAAAAAAATTGTGATGTGTTAATTTAAAAGGGAGGAGAGTCTGGTAAAAGGATGTAGTCATTAAGCTAAAAATGTTAAGAGAACGCAAAAAAAAAACTTGTGGGGTTTCTTTGTTTTCCAAAGAAGTGTCTGAATAAGAAAAGTATTTGAAAAGCCACAACTACCAAAGCATTTAAATAAATGTCATCAGTCACAAATTACTTAAACCATTTGCCACCTGAAAATCATTTTGATAAAGAAAACTGAAGTGGTTGTTGCAGAGATATTTCCAGCTCCTGGAAACCCACTTCTTGAACTATGAATTATTTAATAGTTTAAATGGATCTGACAACTTCTAAAAAATAAAAATAAAAAACAGTGAAGAAGAGACTTCCTCTTAAGCTGAAACATACTTGTCCTAATTGGAAAGCTCTGACACACACGTACACCTGGCAGCTCACCAAACAGCCGACCCGGCCACAGCTCAGCCAATTATGTACTCGAGTGAGCTTAAACAAGAAGGAGTGTATTCTCTACAAGTCTTGAACTAAACAAGTAAGTGCTTAACCTTTTACAGAATAAAGCATATACCTAGAAGTAAATAAAAAGATCATGCTTGACAAGATTACAACATACTTTACTCTGAAGAATGCAAATAAAATGGACCGGTAGTTAGGTGAATATACTTATAAACTGCAAAGTAAAGTTGTGATTATGGCAGCATGAAATGATGTTTAAGCCTCGGTACTGGGATGTGTCACTTATAGCCAGATGTACAGTGTCAAACAGGCCAATGATTACAAATACCATCATAGAGTTAAACAAGCTGGAATGTCTTCTTTTCCATGACAAATCTAATAAAAGCAGTTTGAAACAAAGTACAAAATAAATTCCTAATTAAATTTAGCTGTTCGTGAATAACATGCTGTCTTTGCAAGTACGGAAAAAAAAGAAACACCAGTCAGTCGTGACATTTGGAGAAAACAGCTCTGGTAAGTTACACTGAGCTGTATTTTGTTTTAAAAAGGTAAATGTAGACCAGGTGACCAATGCGTTGATCGGAATCCACCGGTTGATCGCGAAGACAATTTCAGTAGCTTGCATGGTGAAATAGAGTTCAGACTTTTATTTTAATTTTTTAATATACGTTAGCCTATCAGTCCATCCTTATTATGCAATTTGTCACTTGATTGACATACAGGTTAGCCAATCTCAAGTTCTCAGGTTATTTTTCAAACATGAAATTATTCTTGTTGTTTTCTGTTAATTTGTGCAAAGAATGCAAGTTATTGCTGTGTTTTGTTTTTTATTTTGTACACGGACAGAAAAAAATAAATCATCAATTTTCATTTTAAACAAACTTTGGGGTTTTGTCATTTATGTTGCATCCACAGTGAGCATTCAACCTTTATTTATACAGGTTAGTCTCACTGAGTAACGACGCGTAGGGGTGCACCGATTGCAGTTTTCTGGCCGATCACCGATTTCTAAAAATGTCTGACCTGCCGATTCCGATTTTGGCCAATACCCATCCATCCATCCATCCTTTATCTTTTACCTGCTTCTTTCATTTTGGGTCACGGGGGTCGCCGGTGCTCCTGTCCAGCAATCCCTGTGCGAATGACAGGGTACACCCTGGACGGGTCGCAAATCCATCACAGGGACACAGAGACAAACAACCATTCACTCTCTCACTCACACCTAGGGACAATTTAGATCAATCAGCCTTTAGATCAATTTAGATCAGATCAGACCAATCAGCCTAACATGCATGTTTTTGGTCTGTGGGAGGAAACCGGAGTACCCGGAGAAAACCCACACATGCACAGAGAGAACATATAAACTCCACCCAGAAAGGCCCCCGGACCGAGATTTGAACTGGGGGCCAGTTGTGCCACCGTGATGCCCTTGGCCGATACCAATTTTGTTTTATAAACGACACTGTCAGGTGTTATAAGGTCACAATGCACCTTCAATTTTCCAATATTATTTTATTGAAAAACATACCACTGAACAATATCCTAGAAACAATACAAACTTGTTTTAACTGGCCATGAGGTAGTGCTCTGAAATATAAATGAAGTTTAGACAATTGTTGTTAAAACAAACAACAAAAAAAGGTAAAAATCGGTTCTCATGCAAGTATCGGCCGATTTGCGATTTCCCAAAATTAAAGGAATCGGGGCCGATAAATCGGCCGGATGATTTATCTGTGCACCCCTAGTCACGAGGATTCATTTACAAGAGACCTGTTTTACGCAGACAACATATAAAATACAAACAACAATAAACTACAGTGAAATGCAATGAAAGTAAAAGTAGTGTTATAAAACAATAAATCAAGGTGCCATATAAAACAAGGTAAAATACTAAAAACAAGAACGTAAAACAAACAAAGCGTATTTAATATGCTTAAAAATAAGTATACATTTTGTATTTTTATAGTAGGTAGAACACTTGGACTTGGTCATTTTAAAAGTACCGTAGCTTGCATGCTGAAAACGTGTGGGCACCCCTGATGTAGACGATCCTGACAAATATTTTAATAATATGTTGATTATCTAAATTGCAAAAGTCCCACTGAAGAGGTGATTTAGTTTTCTTGAATTAGATGTATTTATTAATTATTGACAGACGTAAGATCAAACACCTTTGTCTCTTTGTGGAGTAAAGGCATCATCCTCTAACCAAGACAGCAGATATGAGCACTGAATCTTCTCTTTTCCAATCTGGAGAACACTGACAAGGTTGTACCTAGCTTCTGACACCATATCCATTTTGTAAAGTGACAGTAAAAAGTTTCTCCCCTATTTGAATCATTAATAATTTTTGCTTTCTCACAAAGAAGTTGCTTTCCTTGTGTGACGTGCTGAATCTGATACCAAAACATTATGTCACATGAAGTAGCTTCTTTAGAAAAGAAATGTTGTGACAACAACTCAATAATTCCAAACTTCCAACGTATCCAACGAAGTCTGTAAAGAATTCAACACTGCTTTTAACTTTACCATAAACTGCTGCCTACATTATGTAAAGAGCTTTCACCTACAGACCTATTTCTCCATTATGGAGACTGACATTTCTTTTCTGGACCATACAACAAATTGTTTTGGCTGACCACTCAGTATATATACTGCTTTCTCACACATTTTACTGAGGGATCTAAAAAACACAATCCAGTTAGCTCAAGAGATTCATATCCAAAGGTACAGCATCATCGCAACCAACTTATGCAAAAAGAGTTTTAACTAAAGATCTACTTCAGGCAGACTATACATGTTCATCCATTTGCAGGATCTTGTTGTGATGAGTCTATAATTAGCTTTGTAGAATAATTAAGGGATTATGTTGTCGGAGAATAGTTTGACCAGCTACTATTAGGTTATCCCAGCTAATCTAATTTACCAAGCAAAGCCAAACATGCTCAAAAGTTGCAAAACTCAGTGAGGCTTCTTCATAAACAGAGTTGGGAATGTCTCAATGAATTAAAAAGGAACAAAATATACACCCTGTGTGTTTTTTCCTGAATAATTCAACCCACATGATGACTCTCCAATGAAGACCACAAAAAAACTAAAGTTGAGGATATGAAGAAAAGTTGTGCCATGTTCTCAAAGGGCTTTCCATTACATATATAATTGGAGCATTATTGCCACACAGCACCACCCTCTCACCCCCAGCACCCCTCATACATCCCCAGCAGGAGGTGGGTTGTTAGTCTGTATCCCCCGTACCGCCCGCCCACAGAAGCTTGTTGCTCTGACAACTGCAGCCCCAAGCTAATGACCTCCCCTGGAGCTTTAGTGTGTGTGAGCGTGTGTGTGTTTACATGTATGTGAACAATAGGAAGAGACGCATCTCCCTCACAATGAAAGAACAGCAGATTCACATGGACATAAAATGAAAGAGGAGCCTAGTAAAATAAAAGAGGGGAGGGGGAAGAAGATGGGAGTCTTGGTGAAACAAGAAAGGGAAAAAACTAAGAGTTAAGAACTACTGAGGGAAAAAGTAAAGAACTTTGGAGAATAAATAGGGAGAGAAAATGGCAAAAGGGGACAGAGAAACAGACAAATAGCAAAGGGAAGGAGTGTGAAAGAGAGAGGGAAGCATCCTCTGTTTTCAGTGAAGTAGCAGAGCCAATCCACGTCCAATTTCCTCTGGTCTGACTGGTCGATAGCTGTGATAATTACTGATAAATGCTCTGAGCACTGCACTACTCCTGCGGGAAACATGTGTTTGTGTGGATAAAAGAGGACCTTCAGTTAGAAATATAAGAATGAATGTGTACACTCATGCATCTGCATGTTGACCTTTTAGTATTTGCGCATACATTAGTGTATAAACTGTTCATGACCTCATTTGCATACAGTATTTACAGTTAAAGATAAATTCCCTAAGTATCCTTGCTATTTTGCATTTTAAGTTCACATCTGCTTTCACCTTCCAGCTTCTAAAAAGGGGAACAACACTGTATCTTTTCGGTTGGCCTCACGTTGATCGATTCCCCTGCCCTCCCCCGGCCCTGCCCATCTAATGTAATAAAGCAGGCCGCTCCCCTAGACAGCACCAATCAATCTACAGAGCCATTCACTCTGCCTCTGGGCTCAGCCGGCCGGCCCTAACTGGGGAAATGGAGACAGAGCCCCATCGATCACAAATAAACACGCATCCTCTCTCACACACACACACACACACACACACACACACACACACACACACACACAGGCATACAGTAGAAGGTGCACACACAAACAAATTAACACACAAACGCAATTGTGCACACATGCAGAAGTGCACATCAACAGGCACATGCACTAAATACATCAAATGCCCACCACGAGGAAGTGAGAGAAAGAGAGAGGAGATAAAGAAGAAGATGTAGAGAGCAGGCAGATGAGCAGCCATACCTGTTTGTGCATTTCTATGTTGAGGCCGTATGACATCTCGTAATACTGAGGAGGACAGAGTGAGAGTGTTAGCTCAGTGGAAAAAACATGCATGTTGAAAACAATATAAATATGAGACTTTAAAGATGACTGCTTCACAGTGGTCCTTTGCATTACAACACACACAAAAAGAAATCGGACTGCTTCTTTAAAGAACATCTTGCAAATTAGACGGCAATGCAAAGAGATTATTAAAAAAAAAAGTTTTGAAAAATGCTCTACTTTGTTTGCTTGTATCTATGAAGCAAAAACTCCCAACGAGCAACGTCTTATTTTCACACTGCTTCACATAAAAGCACTTGGAACTCTGAGGTTTAGATTGAAAGTTTTAGCAACATGGTTTTGTTTTGTGCGCGGTCCTGTAAGATGTTTTAAGTTGTGTGTAGTTCTAGTGTCTGGTTTGTTTTTGGTGTATTTTTGGCAGGCTATATTTTCCTTGAATTAGCAGAATTTGAGTTTTTAGGGTCATTTTGATAACGTTTAATAGAGCGTATAAACAGCAACGTCTGCCCCCCATGAAGGTTATGGCATGTAATTTATAAAGGTTTATCATTATCAATTCACTGCGGACAGGGAAGACACTAAATACATAATCATTGACCAACCCACTGCCCCACACCTCCTTGCGACTTTTGTATCTAAAATTAGCATTGTTTTAAATGTACACTCAAAAAAAGTGATGCGTAGGCACGCACTAATGCATCTGGAGCTTCATCACTAGAGACATGTCCAACTTGCACACACGACCAAACTACTGCTCAAAAAGAACACATCACATATCCCCAAAAGTCACCACTAACGCCTCAGACTTTACAAGACTACTGATTTTTTTTATGTTTTTAAATGTACTGTTTATGCTATTATTCAAACATTTAATTTATTGCTATAATTAAAAGCAAAACATAAAGCCTCACAAACATAAAACATCCAACTAACACCCAATATGTAGGAGAAATGTTGTAATTTAACACATTTTAGTACTAGGAAAATACCATTTTTGCACAATTTAAGAAGGTGTTGCATTCACCCAGTTCTGTTTAAATACAACTTCCTTTTATTTCACATAGTGTTCAGATGATTCTCTTATCAGTCTGTGAAAAGATCACTTATACATCTGGTGAGGGAACAAAACGATCTTCCCCGAGAACATTAAAGTGGCCTTGCTGAAGAATGTCACGCGGAACATTGTCTTACCATGACATAGTGTCTCTGCATCTCCGTTTTTTCGCTGGCCAGCTTCTCACACTCTAGTTTGAGGCTGTTAAGAAATAAAATGAGAGAAAACTCAAAATTCTTAACATTAGGTACAACTTGTTTTCCCCCTTGCTTGTCCTAAGTGTTAAATAAATGAACGTTTAAAGCAACCTTGGCCATTACTTATTGAATAACCCACGAACACAAATAAAAATACAGACTCTTGCAAAATTATAAAACAGTTGTCTGTTGGATGCATGACATGTAATTCAACCCCACTCCAACAGGATCTGAATTTAATAATATGCCATTTTTAACCATAGTTTTTAACTGTTGTGGACAACCCTGACTGAAAACGCAAATAAAAGTGGGTACCATGTGCACAGAGTAAAATAACTACACAATAACAGTTTTGGCCTCATACACAACTACACAGACACAGGGGAAAATAAGTGATAATTTATGAATGCCTGAGCCCACACGACACCCTTTGGCTCTCACCCATCAAAAAGACTTAGACCTACCGCAGTGTAAACGCTAAGCCTGATGCATGTGTGTGAACTTTTATGTGAACCTAATGCAGGTTTATGGGTTAGTCTGAGACCAGACTTGGTGTTTTCATTGTGGTAAAAGGGGAACGGCTGTGGTTAAACTCAGGTTTAATGTTAAAAGCTAGATAATAGATATTCAGGTCTCTCTTGTAAATGAGTCCCCGAGGCTCAGTGGGATTAACCTGTATAAATAAAGGTTGAATGAATAACAATGATGGGAAATTTGTCCACAAAGACTGCACAGTCTTGCATGTGAATCGTGTTGTTTGTGTAATCCACCTGTGGTACTGTGCCTGGAGAAACTGGAACTCCTCCTTTATCCGGTCCAGTGACTCTGGGATGGTGAACTTGAAGGGCTGGCCTGCAGCCTGATGGGGCGTCTAACAGAGAAAAATGAAGAAATTAACAAGGGATTATCAGCATCATGGCAACTAAATACGTGGCCTGCAATTTGTATTTTATCTGTCAGGGGTTTAATGTTTATCCAACAGCTTCACTCTGATCATTTGAGCTTGTAAAGTCCAGATACCATGAAAAAAAAAAAAAGCACGAATGTAGGCAAAAACCAGAAAGACAACAGAAAGTGCTAACCGGAAGTAACTTACCGGGTGTCGCCCCTGGGGGAACATTTTCACTCTGCTGGGGGTCAAACGTGTCCTCCTCCTTGAAAACCACTCAAACGAGGCAGCGTGGATATGTGAAGCTCACCAACACAAACCCATCCGCCTTTACTTGAGGACCAACTCAATTTTAAACGGAGAGCGACGAGCCAGCAGCTCCGTGTGAGCTCCTCGACCGTTTAACGTGAATCCCCGCTCCGCGAACGGATCATTAGCTGTAGGCAGCCGGATGGAGGAGGGTTAAAAAAAAAGGCAGATAAAGAAGGAAGTTACCTCAGTCCACGGTTTATCTGTAGTTTAAAGTATTCCGAGTGCACAGAGATGGAAAAACAACAAGCCACAGAGCCGCAAACTGTCGCCTCTCAAAGCGTCAGAAACATATCCGCACAAGTTAATTGCAGTGAAGAGTTCCCACTTGACTCGCCCCGGTCGCTGGTTGGCGGTTAACGAGGCAATAAAAACAGAAATATTGATTTCCACGTTGACTTTCAATGAAAAGCTACGTCCAAAATAAATTTCACGACAAAAAATAGGAAATGAGTCGTTAATTTTCAGAGCAAAAACTCCCACAACGGCGCGATCACTCCAGCGTCTAGCTCCGCTGTACCTCAATGGCAACTTTCTCACGCGGTTTCACGCTCTCCCCCACCTCTAACCGAAGCTATAGGACCACCCCCAAAACGGTCTCTAACCAATCAGAACTGCTGCTCCACGTGGGGACGTGAACGCCACTTCCAGAATTGACCAATAACCGCTCGATAAACTTCCTTCCGTCCGTTGACCTCGCGATGCTTCGCGATTTCCGACCAATCAGCGCGTCACAAGACGCTGCCACTTCGGAAGCGCGCGGGGCGGGCAGTGCAGTGGGTAAAAGGCGAGTCTCAGCTGTCAATCAAAGTAACGTGGGCTCAGCAGGAGAAGCGCGCGCACATGAACGTAAACACAAGTGAATCAACGCACGCACACTAATGCATTCACACTAACAACAAGCACAAAAACCGTAGCGCTATGGCAGATAACCTTAAACACCTTCTCTTTTCTCTCCATCAGTGGCATTTATAGGACTTGTTTTTGTCACATCTGTCTTTAAAAAAAAATCTGTTGTTTAGTTTTAAATTCAGTGAAACAGCTGCTGAGATCCATCAGTTTGCATCAGGTCACAATGAGCACAGGAAAAATAAATGTATAGGCTACGTGTGTTCACAGTTTGAGCACAAATTATGCTCAATATTTGAGCAATGTAAACAAAGTGGAGTTTCTGTATTGTGAATTATGTTTTAAAATGTGGACTCATATGCAGTGGATGCAAATTCATAACGATTTAAGGGATCAAGTGGGAAACTTCAGTAAAGATTTAGGTAAACAAAAATGATAAAGTTTCTATTTTATTCACTGCTGGATAAAGTATGACCCCCATGCTGATATTTAACTTTTTTCCACTAACGTCAATACCTCATTGTAAGCAGATTAGTTGTTTTGTTTGTCTCATTGTGCCAGATTAATAGGGAACTATACCCATCCCCATGAATACCACATTCTTTAAACATTCCTTGATGTTGTTCATTGTTACAGTAAGTAGTAAAGACTGTAGAAAAGTGTTCACAACAAGCTCAACGAGGTGGTAGGAACTGGATCTTGAACGAGGCTCCGATTTCTCTGCCTCACTTATCCCATAAGTGCCCCTCACTCCACATGGAAAGACCCCAAGCCCCACGCTGACCTGTGATTGGCTTAAAGAGCTCAACCTCTGGCCCTACAACCTTTGACATCTGCAATGGCTGATTCAGTCCATGAGAGACTCCAGACTGTGACCAAACGTTACCTTTTGCCCCAAATCTCCTGCACATACTCAATGAGTGTGTTGTGCTCTGGGTTTATAATCTAAAACTGTTCAAATGAGTTTAGTAATATTATATTCAACTTCTCTCTTTAACTTCCTCCTCTTAAATTTGTAATAATCTTAACAAACTAAATCTTAATAGACAAAAATATAAGTTTCAAACAAATTAGGTTCAGAATAATATGCTCATCTATGGTCAGAATTAAGGATATTTGACTGTTTGTGTTGAATCAGTTCAATTTCTTTAAAAAAAACACACACTTCTTCTCTCTTTTTGTTCTTTATATAATAAGTGATATGTCATACAAGCTTTAACTAGTCAATTCATAACTTAAAAAAAAAACCTGCCATTCTGAAGTTAATATGCCAGACAATGGCATGCCCATTAAAAATAAATCAAGTTGAATTGACAGTCAACCACAACAAAAATATATGATGGCTTTTACACATTTTTAGAAAATCCAAAATTTAGGACTTTTCACAAGTAGAACTTGAACCTGTTGGTCTTTATGTGTGACTTTTTTTTTTTAATAATCTGGATATGGCAGTTGATGCACACGATAATAATTTATAAGTAATTTACAGTTGGCTCTGTGTGTTGCATTAGTTAATTTTTCATTATTACACTTGCATTTTATGAGTGCATTCTGGACTTTTCCAAACAATATGCTCCCTCAGTTCTCTTGGCACTCAATACTAATAAAACAAATTCAATCTAACCTTTTTTGATTTTATCTACCTGAATGATTGAGCTTACAAACCTTTTTCTTATTCAACCTAATAACTTGTATAACGTGTTACAACAACGCTGTCATTCTGCATAGGTGACTAGAATCAAATGAATGAAAACATTTAAATGTAACATTTATTTAAGTAACTTTTTCTACACATGATTATAAAAACAGAACCTGAGACAATACATAAAACATAACATGTCCACTAATTCCTATAAAAGAGGTAATGGATAACATTTCTTGTTAGTGTGTAATCAGTTCTTTAAAAAAGAGCGAACAAGAAGAAAATGCAAAACAAACTTTTTCCAGCTTGTTTTTTGATTGACTTGTATATGCACATTGGTTTCCATCAATTCAAAAAGCAAAACTCTTCATGGTAAATCACCCTTCAACACACCGAGGTATAGATTAAGTTGGCGTGGACTGGTTTTAATCCCTTCAAACATGACATCTTGCTCAAGAATGTCACACAGTGTGATATTTGTCATGCCACAGGAACAAGATAAGTAAACAGAGGGTTTAAATGAGCAATACACAAGATCAGGATATTTTGTTATCCACAAAACCCCGTGTTTTTAGGCCAAAATGCTCCGTCGTGATGTTGACTGATTGTTTCACTAATCTTCTTGTGATAACAGAGTTAAAGATTAGACTGGGGTTACAGGAGGAGACTGACATGTAACTGATAAGTCTTTGTGGTGAGATGATGCAAAATTCTTTGTGTTTTGCACACAGTTTTTTTTTTTTTACTCATTACCATTTTAGTTATGCGTCATCATGTTATGCTAATATTTTGGAGCTGGTCAACAAGATTAATTATGTAAAAGAAAATCAAGCTTTTGTCGAATCTTAGTAAAATAAACACAAAAATCTATATATTTTATGCTGCTCTGCATTACTTTTAAAGAAACATATTTTATTTAGGTGTGTGATTCAGTGTCTCCAACAAACGTTATGGCAAGCTGTCAGAAAAGTTAACACTGTGTCTGTTAAAAGACAAAGATTTAAAAAAAAAAAAACAAGATTGCCATTATCACTGATGATTTGCACCTTGACAATTAACTCACAAACGTACTGCAAAATGAAGTTATAAGATGGAAAATAAACATTCTTTTATTTGGGTTCATGTATGATTGTTCATTGATTCAGCTGTCAATCATAACGCATTAGATTTAAAAATGTTTGCTTATTGTGTCAAATGTTGCTAAAAAACATGTGATCAAAATGTGATTAACCAATTAATAATTACAAGGCATGTAATTAACTTAAATAACAATCCACAGTAATCTTGGCTCTGATTGTTAAACATTATTTCTCCAAATGGAGGTGGTTCAAACTTAAAAGAGTTATCTACAACAGGTAAGATGTTTAATGTTTGGAACATTTCTACATAACCTCACTTCAAAATAGCTACAACTGTAACAAAGACTGCCCCATGTTGGAAGATAAGCAAAGCTCATTAAAAGAAGAAGTACTTGCATCATGACTAGTGTTATTTGCAATATTTATAAAACTACTGAAGTTGGTGGCACACAAATTCAAAGTGGCACAAAAGTTAAAAGATATGGATACTCTTGAACCAGTAGAAAACCAATGATAGAGGTAGAAAATGATGTTATTGAATTTTCTTGACCTATCTGAAGACAGGCATGGATAAACTATCCAAAACAACTGCTGGGCTTTTAATTTTTCAATCAAATCCCCATTCTCAACGAAGGCCTCAGGGCGTACAAAAGTCCTCCAGCTCACAATGACTCCATCTCTGATTGGATGCTGAAACTGCATCGTGGAGTGATGAACAACCAGGGGAAGTGAACAATGAACGAGTCTACTGTTTACAATATTTTCAGGTATCAGTAGCTTCCATATAGCTGAAGATGTTAATTCATAAAGAGAGTGAACTGGTGAACGTACCGCCAACCAAATGATCCATGCAAACTTTGCACCAACAGAGGTTTGATTTTCATAAATCTGCTCAGCAAAGATTTCTCAGCCACTTCTCCACCTAGTTTATTCGCTTTGGTTCATCACAAACCGCAGGGATTTTAAAGGCATTTTTTTCCTGTCAGTCCAATTTGAGCAGCTGACAACTGAACAAACGTTGATCATTAAAGTTGAATTAGCACAGTTTGCTTTACATGTTCACTGTATCCGTCACGTTTAAGCTGGTTTTCCAACATGGCAGTTAGGCCTGGCACACAGGATGTGACAGCTGCTTTGTCATGCCAAACTTTGCTTATTAAATATATATGAAACAGTGTGTAAGACCAGGTTTAGTAGTTAAGCCAGCAACACATTTGGTTTAAAAAATCTCTAACCAGTGAGTGCAACATAAAACTTAAGAATATGTGTTTTAAACCGTGTGTTCTGTATAGTTGATTAAACTCCTTGTGTGTTCTGCTGCAGTGATCTGACGGCGACAGTGTACCAGCACAAGCTCACTGGCCTCCTGATTTCTTTAACAAATGCCCATCCCCTCATTCATTTGAAAAGTCTCCCCCTCCTCCTTCTCTGCTCCCCAGTCATTTGTTTAAAGTGGCCAAGCACACAATTAGCCTCTGCTTTGGATGAGGTGCAAGAACCTGCCATAGAAGCCTCATTT